AAGAGCACTGCAAGGGGACGGCAGACGTCCACGGTCAGCCCCAGGCTGCGGCAGGGCAGGGGACAGCCCGGGAGGTCAACCCGAGCATGGAAAAGCGGTCGGTGCTGCTCAGGCTCATAGTGGAAATGGCCGAGTCTCAATCAGAGATCCATAATGATCTCTATTTTCAGCCCCCTTCTGAAAACCAGTGATTGCCCATTAGCTCCAGCAGCATCACCTCTTGGTGGCGGTCAGGCCATTCATCCATCTGACAGACCCCACCGAGTCCCAGATGAACGCTTTGGTGATGTTTCTATCACACAAAACAGTAACCAGACCGAGCAGCCACGAGGAAGCTGCTGGGTCCGAGGCCATGAACTCACCTTGGCCATCTTTCCGCATCTCCTTGAAAAGTGCAAACTTCTGCGGATTATCCACCACCATGAACTTCTTCAGGAGCCCCTGGATCACCTCGCTGACCGTCGTCGTGCTGCTGATGTGGAGCTGCTTGATGGCATCCAGCGGCAAGTAGAACGAGGTTCTCTTGTCCGTCATGTCAGCCAGGTTCACCTCCTTGAGGGCATCGTAGATGGACTGTGGCCGGATCCCTGCCGGAACCGTCACGGGGCGGCGCAGCTTCAGATGCACTTTAATGAAGCCTGTGTAGGTCCCATCATCGTTCTAAAGTAAAGAAGAGGGGGGTCAGGCTCCAGGGAGCCTCTCCAGTCCTTCCCCGTGCTAGGAGGGGCCTTCTGGTCTACAGCACTGCAGCCCATGGGGGGACTGCAGGACTTTCCACCCCTCAGTACTGCCAGGAGTTTGAGGGGTTCTTATTAATCATGTATAGAGTAACCAGTAATTTTGGGTTAGTCACTATTGATTTTCTCCTGCTCCTTCCACTCGGCAATGACTCATCCCTTCCTCGCGTCTGTGCAACCTTGTCGTATTTAAAACCAACCCTGCTACAAGTCAGTTATGGAAACCATTACATGGAATTTGTAGTTGCACTCAAGTGAGGGTTTGAAACCTCTAGGAAGGTCTCTACCCTCACTTTTTGATCTCCCGACCGTATTCCTCATTTTTTATTCCCTGCTCATGGGATTCTCACATCTCCATGCAATACGTCATCATTCACGCTCAGCCTGGCTCACGACAGGTCCCTCACCCTACCTCAGCTCTGTGAAAATGCAGAAATCCAGAAAAACGTCTGGCTCTGTGCAGTCCACCCGTGGGTGCCAGGCAGGAACAAGCCAAGGGACCCACCTTGGGTGGTGGGAGCCCGTGGTCCTGCCGAAGGGCCACCGCCAGCAGCTGAGCCCGGCCAGTCCCAGGACTGTACTGAGCCCCAAGACTCTACTTTTGCTAAGCTTCAAAGTACCTCGAGTAAACTTTTGGGTCCCGAATGAGTCCTACAAGTCAAGGGGTGACAAAAATCAGTGGGCGAGACATTCCAGCAGAAGCTGCTGCGCAGCCTTCGCAAAGGAAACTGTTGTAAGATCTACTATTTTAAATAAATACCAGGTTTATTTTCAGATGTTAGCAAGCACCAGGAAGTTAAATAGCTGCTGTTCTTGGAAGTTCTACAATCTAATTATTTTACTCCTTAAGTAGCTTCTCCCCTGCCCTCCCCCGTAAGAACCTGTGAAGTTTGTACCTTTGTGGTACTCGTTTGTAAAAGAGATTATTTCCTTGTCTTCTCAGCACATACCATCAAGGCTTTACTTACAGGTGGTGACGAGGAAGTTTGCAATCAAAGCTTCACAATATCAGGCATCTACTGCGGTTCTTAGACCGCTGCTTAAGCGAGCCTGGCAGCGGAGAGGAGAAAAGCACCTCTTTTCTAGAAAGGCTTTGTGCTTCTAAACCCACTTTGTGCTTCGAAATCCTCTCTGCGACGGCTGCTGAGCTGCAGTGCCGCAGCCTGCGTTTTGCTGGGACCCACCCAGCGCGGGCTCGTCCGTCTGCGGCAAAGCCACGCGCTGTGCCAGCGCTGCCCGGGAGGAGGGACGCGGGGAGAGCTGCTCCCCAGCGCCGGTGACTACCGCTAAGGAAACCCAGGCAGGACAGGGCAGGAGAAAAAGGAGATCAGGGAAGGCAGACAAGGACATCTCCACAGCCCCAAGCCCTCTCGCCTTGGAGATGCCTTCCCACAGCCTGGCTCTGTTCACAGCCCAGAGACACCAGCAGCAGTGTTAGGTAAAAGGCGCCCAGTACATACCAGCTTCATCAGCAGGCAGTTTGTAACTTTTGCGTTGTATTTTTCTATTTTCTGTTTGATCTCCTGGATGGTCAGAGGCTTGGGTTTTTCTTCTTCTGCCGTTTGGGTTACATTCTGAAATCAGAAGAGACAGGCTTTAGCTGTTTCATGTCTCGTGTAACACTGCAGCGGTTTAGCTCTGCTTTTGCTGGGAAACGCAGGAACCAGGAGGCCACGCAGGTCCTGAGCTCACGCTAGCGGTGACGGCAGGGGTGGAGACGGTCCCTACGGCCAAGAGGCTGAATGTGCAGGATGCCACGTCCCTGCCCCAAGCCCCCTCTGTGCACCAGTAACAGGCTGTGGAGGGTAACACAAACCCCACCAGTCAGTGGGACACTGAGGCACGGAGCATTAAAGACATCCCAGTACAAACCAGGGCAGAGAATCCACCTTCTCAAACCCGCTGTCAGGAAAAGAGCCACCTGCACCTGCTGAGCGTTTCTTTGCTTCTTGCAAGGCAATTGAAAAAAAATCACATCCTATTTCAAGCGTTCACGGCTCTGCCCACCCGAACCAGGCACCCTCTGAAGAACCCGGGGTGCTCCTCAGCCAGCTCCCAGCAGGTTCGCTCCGGCAGAACCTGAAGTTCAATCTCCGCTGGGTTACTCCTCCTCAGCTTTGGAAATTATAGCTCAGAGCAGTCAAATCCCACAGGCAGCAAGCCAGCTGCAAGACTAATAAACCAGTCACTGCAAACCCAGTCAGGGCACCCCAGCCCGTGCCAGAAACCGGTCAGCGTCTGCCCGTGCGTGGGCTCACCAGGAGGACGACGGCTGCTGCTGCTCGCCCGAGGTTTGGGGAATTTCCTCTTGGGAGGCAAAGCGACGGATTCGGCGCTTGGGTGGGCTTTACCTGCAGGTCACACATGGAAACGTCGCTAACGAATAACTGGCAAACACGATGCCGTCGCGGAGAGGCAGCTTGTGGGGGCTCCCCAAATGCAACCCGGGGTTCGGGGTGTTTAAGCAGGAAGGCAACGGACGGGTCTGCAGAGCCCAGCGCTGGCGGGCTGAGCCGGCTCGGGGCCGGGGGACGAGGCCAGGGCAGGAGGATGCTGCGTGGGGTCAGAGCAGGACCACGGTGCCATCTGAAAGTGGAAAGTGAGGTCCTTTCTGCAGAAGCGGGCCAGATCCCGCACCTCTGGGGCACACCGGCGGAAAGCACGCACACTGCCACCGAGCCCTGCCTGCCCCAGGGAGACGTCTCCGGCCACGCAGCCTCCCCGCTCCCGGCCTCGAAGGCAGGCAAGCCAGGCTGGTGGGATGCCGGCCACCCTCTGCAGGGACACACAAGGCAGGGAGAAGGCAAGAACAGAGGCAGGGGAGCCGGGAGGAAGGCTCTGACGAGGCACCAGGAACACACAGTCGCAGATGGTTTTCTGCAGAGATGAGGGCTTGTAGCAGCCTCGAGCGAGAGCCGAGCCACGCTCCCACCTCCCATCTGCCCGAGCTGGGCGAAGGCCCACCGACACCCTGGAATGAAATGTCAGGATGCGATCCTCCACCACCGCGCCCGGCGTGACAGCAGAGCCCAGACGGGAGCACGAGAACCCGTGAGCTCTTTTCCAAAAACCTGCTCAAAGGCAGGAAGGGACACGCCGGCAAACATGGGCAAGGATTTTGCCCCCGGTGCTTTGCCTGCACCACACAGGGGAAGTAACAAGGGGAGAGAAACACAGAGCCCAAAGCTGAAGCCACCGAGCCATGGCCAGACAGGCAGCCAAGTGCTTCCAGAGACATCCCCCGGCATCCCACCCCCATCCCCTGGGGCTGCGACACCGAGCCCGAAGCAGCTACGCAGGACAGAAGCACCCGCTCCCCTCCAGCATCCATCTAGAAGAGTCTGCTGCAGAGTTAATGGCTCCTCTAACACTGAGATGGAAGCAAGGACTTGTGTGGCCCCGAAGTAAACTCAAATTCACAAGCAAGCTAAGTAAATCTGTTTAAAAACATGAAACTCAGGGAGCTAAACTGACCCAGGAGTTCCCCAGCTGCAGGGTAAAGCCCAGCAGCCCCCTTTGGGTCTCCTCGTGGGAAATGAGGGACCATGAGGGTGGTGAAACCCTGGCCCAGGCTGCCCAGAGAAGCTGTGGCTGCCCCCTCCGTGGCAGGGTTCAAGGCCAGGTTGGATGGAGCTCTGAGCAACCTGGGCTGGTGGGAGATGTCCCTGCTCATGGCAGGGGGGTTGGAGCCAGATGACCTTTAAGGTCCCTTCCAACCCAAACCATTCAATGATTCTACATCACCCGGGCTGTGCCGACTGCCCCGTGGGTCTCTGTGGCAGCCCGCGAGGACACAAGGCCGAGCAGCGTCCCGCAGCTGAACCCCTGCCCTGAGCACATCTCCAGCCCAGGGACACTGACCACGTCAAACCACGGTGCCAGATGCCAACCAGCAGCAAAGACCTGCAGCCCGCAGCACTGCGTGCGGTTGGTTTCTCCGCATGATTGCTCAGCTCTTCAGCTGCTGCCTCCGTGGACGTGGGTCCAACAGCGGCATTCACGAAGCCTCGATGACTTTATGGCCACAAGACCGCTGGGAACTCCCTACGTGAGGCTCATCTTGTGCTTCAGGGTCTGACGCCGCGTCAGCCCGGGTGACCCAAAGCCCTTCAGCAGAGGGGCTTTCCACCCAGCCAGGAGAGCAGGTCCCCTCCCAGGCACAGCCTGCAGCATCCCAGCCCCAGGGCTGCTGCAAACCCGCCCGCGCGTGCCTCGGGCTGCGCTCGGCGGTCAGGATTGCGCAGCGCAGTGCCCCGCCGCCGTTCCACGCGTTTTGCCAGCGCTGCCTGCAACCGCGCGATGAAGCGATGTGCTATCAAGGCCGGTACAGAACAAAACCTGTAACCTCCAAGAAGGAAAAAAAAAGGAAAAAGAAGCGACTTTGGGAGCAAAGCCCGTCTCCTCCCAGGCAGCCCCACAGCACAGGAGAGCAGGATGCAGCAAGCTGTAAACAAGCCAGTCTTGCTCCAGGCTACCCACGATATTTCTTTTATGGGGAGAATCAAGCCCAGGACAAACCCAAATCCTGGTTGCAATCTGGCAAAACGGCTACGGTCCTGGGACTCCAGAGTCCCGAATTCATTCAAGCGATTCCCAAGGGAGATTTTGTAATTTCTACTTGAAACAGGCAAACCGTGTCAGAGCCCTCGAAGCTCAGGTCTGGAGCAGTAACCCAGGGGAAGAGCACCGACATTGTATTACGGTCTCCTCCTCGTTCAGCGCCTTCAGAAAATAAAGCAAAGCTTTCCTCAGGTACTCAAGAATTGCACATAAACATCCAGTGATCACAGGGGCACTTTCAGCTCCCGCTTGCCGAAGTCCTCAGGCACACGCCTGGCTGCAGTCCATCGACTGCAACAGGTCTTACGCGGCCGCACGTAGGTGCTGGGCTGGCGTGGGAGTCTTCACAAATAAAGTCAAGGGTAGGGATTTTCAGAACTAGCACTGGGGAAAGGGAAAAAAAATGAAAAACAACGAAAAACTTCCCTTTAAGTTAAGGGAAGAGGTGCACTTCGAAACCCTCCACTTCCTCACCTCGCCTGTATCACAGCGTCGGAGACGGGCACAGCCGTGCTGCCGCCCACCACGGCCAGATTCCAGCCCCGAGCGCCGGAGACCCCCAGGACCATCCCCTCCCGCACCCAAGGAGCCTTGTAGCTGCGGGGCAGAGCTGCAGCGGCGAGGCACGCCGTGCACGCACGCCACGCGTCACCCGTGGCACCAAGGCAGACCAGCACCCACCCAGACCCCCACCGCACAGGCAAACAGAGCCGCTCGGTCTGTCCCTGTCACTGCGATTTGCTGCTCCACCGTGGGGTGAATCCATCCCCTCTTCTGAGGTCTCCAGCTGAGGAAAACCGTGCGTGCCAGCAATGAAGAGCTTTCGGAGCAGCTCGCGCGCTGATGCCGGCCGGTTTCCATGGAGGACGCACGGCGCACCCTGGACTGCGGGAGCCTGGGGTTTTGCAGCAGGCACAAGGCAGACGCTCATCGTCACGCTCCGAGGAACCCAGATCACTCGCAGGGCTGGGAAGCCTGGCTCAGGAGCACGGCGCTGGTGGCACTGCGTCACATGTTTCGCACCGTGTCCCCGCGCACCTTCATCGACAACCGGCTGCCCCCCTGCCTTCCCCGCGCGC